ATATATATATATATATATATATATAAACTAAGAAATTTGGTTAAATGTAAATGCAAAGGGACTTAAATGTTAAAGTGGCAAATTCATAAAAGTACAGTACCTATATACCCTGAAACTACTGAAGAGAATTGAAACGTTTGAAAATATTAATGCATATGAATTTATCAAATCAAAAATTATAAAGGGCATCTATTCTATATTCATTTATTTGATAAGTGATTTTTTAACAGCATAAATTTTAAATCCTGCACCATGCTGATGAAAGTTGTGTCTGTGAAGCGTACTAACTTAGAAGCTACTTCTAATCCTTTGAATTAGCATCCAGAGCTGCAATTATTCAAGTTAATAACAACCGAGGTAAAATCTCTTTGCCAATCAATCAGATGTTCATGTAAGCTAAAATAGTCCAGACTGCATGGACTGCCACTATACAGACAAATAATTTAAACAGTTAAGTCATAAAATTAGATTAATTTGCTCCTATGATTGGTGAACATGAACAGAAACCGAACAGTTAGGAGAAATTTTATCATTTCTGTATCTATTCACCAGCTCAAACATGCAGGGGGAACCTTTAGCAAGTCAAATGCAGCCTGAATGTTTCAACATGTAGAAAAATTAATTAAAAGTCACTCCTTTAATATGTTTACAATCTGGTGAAGCATGCTTGTTTGCCTACTTGTGATGTCATAAAGTAAAATGAGCATAAATCAAAAATAAAACTTGCTTTATAAAAACTATATTTGTGAAATTCTAAATTGCCCATCCCTATTTTTACTCTGAGTATATTTGTTTCTCCAAATCAAAAATACAATTAATTATTCAATACAGTTAATGTCAAAATATGGTGGACCGATGTGAGATTTTAATAACCAAACACTGAGTCACAAGTACATCCCAAAAGGATAAAATAGTTTTATTTATAGTCTCGTAATAAAGGTATGCCTTAACTTGCAAGACACCCATTGGCAGTATGTACAACATACCTGTAATTTCCATGGAATGGAACAAATATTGATTACATACACACAATGTTTTCTGACTTTTAAAAGATCAACATTCCCAGCACAGGCAAATATTTTAAGGGAAGGCTTTTCTGTGCAGAACTGACACCATTAAGGAGTATACAGTGTTACATACAACACACCGAAACGGATTTCCATTAACAAAAATAAAGGTACTGCCCTTCAACTGCGTTGTGTAACATTCACTATTGATTAAGGGATCATTTTTAAACCACATATATATCTATATATTTTTACTAAGATAAAAAAAGAGGGAAATAAATAGTTGAATGCTCTAAAACTGGTAGATGGTCTACCCCAAATCCAATCATTACAGAGACCAAACATATCAATAAACAATATAAGGATATGAAATACATTTTAGTGCATTAAAAGAGGGATTCACTATAACAAAGTTTTCAAAGAAGTAATTTCAGCCGCCTAAACTGAGTTAAGAGGGTTGCTTCTTGAAAGTTGGAACCTTTTTCCTGACAAATTCACTTTCTTCTGGAAAAATATGACTATTAAAAAGTTAAACTATCTCTGATCACAATTTCATCAAAGCTGGTCGTCTTACAGCTTCAAATTATTATACAGGTCGTCACAAACGACCAAAAGAAAAAGTTTATTTTGCAGCTTTACAGAAGATTCATGCTGTGCCATTTCTATGTTTGATCATGAGGTCTCAAAAGCAACATGTCCTTCAAAACTGCGGAGCTGCCAAACTTCTGGGATATTAAAAGTCGTTTCAGGGACCACAAAAACAAGAGAGGGAAAGCTTTCCTTAAGGATACAGCAAGGTAGAAGCGTTTTGGACACACAGCAACAGCACCTCTAAGACAGTTTCCACCTTTTCCTTGACTGGTGTAAGAAGGCGGGCAGGTAAGAAGAGCTGGTGGATACAGAGTCTGTCTCGACTGGCAGGAGTCTAACTGGTCTCCACGCGCAGCTTCTTCCTGTTGAGCGGTTCGTCCGGCTCCGATTCGGAGGTGGAGTCAGACCCCCCGTCAAAGGCTGACACCGTGCTGCCTTTGCGGTTTGTGTATAAGCTGCTGTCGGAGGAGTAGTTTGTTTGGAGCTGAGAGTTTCCTTTGGCCTTCTCCAGAGCGCGGACTACACAGTGATTAGAAAAAAGTTTAGGTATAGAGCAGAATAACAGCTATTGTCTGTTGTAGGACTCCTCAACATACCTTGTTGCTCCAGCAGTGCGTTCTGCTTTTTTAAATCATCAATGTCTTGTTGGTGGGTGTGATTTTTTCTCCTCATCAACTGGATGTATTCTGTGGCTTTGTCCAGAATCTGGGCCCGAGAGGCCTGTAACGGGTAAACAAAACGTTAGAGCTATAAGGACGTTCTAAGCAATACAGACAGGTTTAATGTGGCATTTTGTTTCAGTTAAAGAAAAACTTCACTGATGCCAAAGGTTCGTTAAATGTTGTTACTCCTCATGTTGATAAAGGATCTTCGCAGGTGACCATCTTGCAGTGGGGCAGAAGAAGTATTTGACTGAACACACTGTAAGTGTTTAACTGTCCTCTGAAGAGGATGCTCACAGTTCTCCATAATGTCCAATAGTTTAATAAAAAATCCTTCATTATAAAATAATCTCCAGAGATTCTAGAGGAGTTCCCAGAATAGGGCAGAGCTTCTTTATCAACCTGTTGAGCTGTTTCAAATCATTTGCTCTAATGCTGTTACTACAGCAAAGACCTAGGCTTCATTAGGAAGTACGGTCTGCTCTGTCCCTTCTTGTAGAAGACTTTAAAGACGTGTCTTCATTTTTTTCCAGGTAAACAATGAGCTATTTCCACCTCCACTTGTCCCAGTTTCTTCTGAAATCTTCAATGAAGCAGGTGAATGATGGCATCTTTAACTCCACAGCGATAAGCAAAGTGCAGAGAGTCCTGATAGCTGTTTGTTTGCTGAGGTGAACCAACAGAAGTCTCTCTTGGATGTTAGATGTCAGAGTAACAGGTCTATATTCATTGCTAGCTGTGTTTTCTTTGGTAGCAGAACAAGGCAGGAGCTCTTCCACATCATGGGAACCATCTCCTGAGTCAGGCTAAGGTTAAGGAGATTGGGCAGAATCCCACATCGCTGCTCTGCACAGGCCTTCAGGACTCTGGGGCAGACACCCTCGGGACCTGGTGCCTTGTTGGGATTCAGTCTCCATTTCCTCTTCACTTGACTTCTAAAAAAAGGCAACTTAAGGACGGAGGGAGCACAACCATCTTCTGATTTGGCTGAGAGGATTTCCAAGTGCCTTTTTAGCTTTTAATAGATTTTCATCCAGGATTACCCTATATTTATTTTTTTCATTTTCTTTCCAACGACTCTGAACAGCTTCCATCCTTATTCAAAGGGGAAACAGCCTCATAATATGTCTCTGGCATGGATATTGTTTTAAATCAACTCAAATTTTATTGATCCCTGACCTGCCTCCTGTGTTGCTTGGTCTTCAAGTAGCTGTTTGTCTTCTCTGAAAAACCCCTGAGGGCTTCAAAGAACAGCCGGATCCCTACTGACACTGAATTACACACAGATGGGCTCAAATAACCAATTAGGTGACTAATGAAGCTTTCCCATATAAATGAACAAATCAGCAAATCCGGCATAGCCATTCAAAGGATCCTGTGATTAAATAAAAAGATGGCAGCAGCCATTAGACGCCCCTCCTCTATGGGACCATAGAGAAACAGCTACAGTATGGAGAGCAAAGAAAATGTCTGCAAATCTGACAAATGTCTGAGTGACTAAATGTCAAAGTTAATGTTCCTCATCTTAGGAATGAGTAAAGATCTAATTGAACCCTAAAGGTTGTTTTTCTTTAGTATGACACAAAATGAAACACTAAGAGTAAAAAAAAAAAACATCTTTTGCTTTGTTCACATTTGAAGTCTAAACTGAATCCACCTCACCTTCTCTCCATGTAATGAAGGCACAGAGTCTCTTAAACTGTGAAAGCTGTCTTTGATGTGGTCCCTCCGTTTGCGCTCCAGCGCATTGTGATGTGCTCGTTTGTCTGCCTGTGAAAAAAAACAAACTATTTACATATGCATTTCTTAAAAACACATTGGTTACGTTTATATTTAGTTAGAGGGTTTGCTGCCCTGTTTGCCAAAGCTTTTTTTTAAGGCTAAGACAATTAATGAGGAGGAGGAGCTGCTGCTTTAATGAAAGAGCTGAGCAACAATGCAAAGCTCAGGATTTACCGGTCAGTCTACGTTTCTACCCTCACCTATGGTCATTTATCATGGCCAAAAGGAAAAACATCCCGGATACCAGCTTTCTTTCAGGAGAGGACAGGTATGAAAAATACAAATAATTCTCAAAGTAATCCTCAACTAATTCAGTAACTTAATTAGGGCTGCAACTAACAATTATTTTGCAAATTGATTCATCTGTTGACTTTTTTTTTTTAATTAATAATCATATAGCAAAAGCTTCCTTTAAAATAAACTTTTTACAAAAATAAACCAGGTGAAACAAACTTTTCCCATTGAGGAGTTCTGGATAGAGTATATTTAGACAGACAATTTATTTTATCTTAAAATACAAAATATTTTTATATTTTTTTACAATCTTGGTATAATTACTGCTCTAAGTGGGTTGCTTTGTCAGCTAAAGGCTAACCTTGGTCGAATACTAAATTAGTTGATGATTATTTCAATAGTCGATTATTCACAATTAATTAATGTTTCGGCCTCAAATTTAATAGCTTTTAAGTGGAAGGTATAAACATTACAAAAAGCCATTTGCTAAAGAACAACCAAAAAAAAAAAACAGTGAAGTATTGTATTTTAAGAAAAAATATATATATATCTTGTGTGCTCATTTTAGGCTCAAACATTCTGTTATGGGACATTTGTCTAAGAGTATCTCTTTTATATTATTAAATTAATGTATAGCTAGATTGATTGACTGATTAGTAAAAGTGCCTAGAGTTGCTGCCCTATTTTCTTGAATTGTTTTTTTCCCCAACTTTAAACAACCACCATGTAAACACATTCCTGCACAAGTTGAAGCACAATGTCCAAAGTTTTTGAAGAGTGATCTTTGCTTTCTGTTTCTTAAAGGATCAGGTCACTACAAGATCAACAGGCCCCGCCCAGTGGTCTACATATATAATGTCCACCACAAGAGACTCTCAGCAGTTTAACAGTTATTCTTCCACAGAAGCAAGAAGACCCACACCTCCCATTAAATTTCACTTTTCCTTCCAGCACTTTATGAAGCAAACGAGAAGCCCATTTCTTTTTGCCACTTTAAAAAAATGAAAAGAAACAAAATAAGTAGATCTTCACACATAGATGAAAAATATATAAAATATCAATTTAAAAACAATATTACTGCAATATGGCCATTTTAATGGACATTATGTCTTCTGTATTCCATGAATATCATATTTTAATACTTCACATACCGTTAATAAATTTGCCCACTTGGATGTTGTTAAAAGTTCATGTTAGTAATGTTGACATCTACATTTATAGGGCAGCAACTCACTCTGGTTGCATGCAAAGTTTTTCTGAAAGATTACCACATCCTGCTGGCATATTTTTTGTTATTCTTCAGTTTTTCAGTTTGGTTTTGCTTGATTTATTAGTAAATAAAGGCCTTCATGTATATTTACAATGACTATGACTCTGCACACGAGGATAGAAGGTAAACAGGTGGCTCAACCAAATAGAAACTCCTAGTAAAGTTTGGACACTATGAATAAAGGTCCAAGATCCAATGTGAAAATAATGCAAAAAATATTTGATTCCAAGAGGGATAAGACTTGAACGCATTCGGAATACAATATGATTGTTTTTGTTCACAGAAGTGGAAGCTAAAGCCACCGAAGTGTTCGGATGCAGGGTGGAGTCCGTAGTATCGCTGATATTAGTGACAACAATGCTATTCTTAGTCTTTACAATCTAAGTCAATCAAATGATATACATAAATATGTTCATTATGTGGTTCTTCAGTTAATGATGTGTCCTTGTTTATGTTTGTTAGGAATGGATTTCTAATAGGAAGTTCTGAGGAGAATTGACTAGAACCTAAATTGGTTTATTTGATTAATATCGGTTGGTCATCGACCAGGCGAACTGTAGCTTTAACACCAGGTAGTTTAAGACGGGCAGACTCTGTTTAGAAGTCGATATCTGGTTTTCTGATAGTTCTGCGGTACTACATGGCACCACATCATGGTGCTGTGAATCAAAACACTATCAGAGCAAATGCTTAGTGTATATAACATTTTAATATGATCAAATGGTCTTTTTATATTGTCATATAAAAGGACAATGCACCCTTAGCTACCAGTAATGCAAAGAAAATGTTTACCATTAACCAACTGACCGGGGATTAATTGTAAAACACTAGGGAAAAATAAAGAAAATACTAGGAAGACTATAATGTTACTGTAGAATGGAACACTAATCATGTAGAGCAAAGAGTCTGTATGAGACTGAAACTGAAATGCCATTAAGTTTCATTTAAGTAGAAAAGACATTAATGTATTTCTGTACATTTAGGGCTGCATTTAAGGACTTTCACCTTTTTAAAAGTAGAGCAGATTTTTTAAGATTTGATATCACAAAGGTACGATCACTTTTTGTTTTAATATGATACAATGCTGATGAAGATTCCGTAAAAGTTAAAAACAATCCACTGGACTTGGTTTCCAAGGTTTAAAGACGTTTCGCTTCCCCTCCAGGAAGCTTTCTCGATTCAAATGACAAATATCTTCAAACCTTGGTAATCAAGTCCAGTGGATTGTTTTTAACTTTTATGGAATAAATATGATACTAGTTGGAGCATCAGCTTCCAGCTTTATTGTAGCTCAAACATCATTGAATTAAAAAAATCCAACTAACCAAATGAAATTATGTTTTTGTGTTTTCATTTTATCTGCTCCCAAGTCCTCTTCTTTCACAAGGTGCACATTATTAATATGCAGTAGCTATTGGGAAACCTGCTGTCATGTAATTTGGCGTCTCTTTGATATTGCCACTGTGCTTCACTTTTCTTTAAGTCTCATTTTTTTTCTCTTTATATTTATTTAATGTATTTGTTCATCACTGGAGAAATATGGAGCTCTCCCTTCTGCGCTCATGATTGTGATTGGTCTGCTACCTTGAATCTGCTCCTTTATATGTGCGTGTTCACAGATTCAGGATCAGTTCAAGCTGGATTGAGTTAGGGAGTTGATAACCAGCTTTGTGGTACATCTGGTTAAACTGAATAGGCTGGAAGTAATCCCACTACATGGTACAGGCCTCTGGTTTTATGTCTACTTATCACCATGGACTGAACTTTTTAACTAGAAACACTGGATCTCCCCACAACATCTCCATGAACAACATATGCAGGTTTCTGCAGGATGTGAATAATATACATAAAATAGATCCATCAGCCTCCTTCTCTACCTAACGCATATCTGCATATAGCTAGCGTCCATAATCCTTTTAAGTAATGTGCAAAATTTTATATCATAATATGTTCATCTTAGACTCACACATAATTGAGTTTTCTTTTTTTCCCCTCACATATGTGGGCATGATTATTGTTCATACAGTGAGAAAAATTGCATATTAAAAAAAGGGTGTCTAAAGGGGGGATTCTATCCTCTCATTTGCTGGTTTTCATATTTATTATGATTTAACAAGAACCTTTTAACTACAGCAAGTATCTAAGACAGAGGTGGGCAAGTAATAATAATATCCCAAATAGGATGCCGGCCCTCAAGTTCCTGGGGGCTGGTATCCTGCAGCTTTTACATCCATCCAACACACCTGAATCAAATGGTTTAATTATCTCCTCAGAATGCTGTCAGTTCCTCCTCTCAATCGTCTAATTACTTGATTCAGGTGTGCTGCACAAAAGGCACATCTAAAGGTTGCAGGATACCGGCCCTCAGGAACTGGAATTGCCCACCCCTGATCTAAGATGTTGCTAAACCATGTAACAAATAACATGACACTCAAGATTCTGTAGAGATCTGGAAGAATATCAGATGTAGTATATCTAATTAATTAATTAATATTTTTGTAGGATATGTAAGAAAACATGGGAGATTTGTGTTTTTTTAAGTGATTGTTTAAACAAACACTTCAGCAGGAGAAATAGATATTGTCGATAGAAGGAAAGATGCCCAAACCAGTATGCATCCACTGGCTGCATGATGATCTAAAGCTGGAGATTCCAGTTTAATCAAGTCAGAAGGGGGGAGGATAATCCACCTTAAAAAAACCCGTCAAAAATACAAATGACATCCCACTGTGACTCAAAACACCACAGTTAGCCAATACCCACTAGTTTCCACATCCAACTAAAATGGTTCATGCCAAATGGATATTTTATATAACCAATAATAATAGAACGGATGGATTTTCATTCAGATGGAAATAAACACTTGACATGAGGGCCGCGTCAGGGTGCAGGGAGTTCAGGGAATACGTGCGATACCAGATACACCAGCAGAACATGGAGTACTTCATGTCTTTACTGTGCTGATTTGCAATACTTACTATGTGGGCGAAATGACAAAACACACTGGTTATAACCAGATTTGGAGATAAACTGCTACAAAACATTTAGCAATTTTTGACTGCTAACGATGTAGCTACTACAGTTGACACGAAGCGCAACCCTGCAATGCACGGACTGCAACAACTATTTATTATCTCTAGTTCCACTGTGCTAAAGACTTATGATAGTTTATAAATGCAGCATTTTATCTAAAGGGACAAATTATTCCCCCTCCTTTATGAGCTGACCTTGTTGCAGCAACAGCTTAACTCTTGTTCGTGACTGTCGCATCACGTTTTGTTGTTGCCCTACAGTTATATAAGGTTTTTTTTATTATTATTAAGCGTCTGTATGTATTTGTTTGATGTAATTAACCAAATGTAATGGAATTTAGACACTTCTATACGTAAGGTAACGTTAAACTACCACTGAAAATACGATATAATCGCAACAATGTGCTAAATGTAAATTTTTGTTTTAAGTTAGCCTTGTCTATTTGGCTTTTATTTACAAGAAATAAACCAAAATGTTCTACTAACGGTGGTTTTCATAGCTTGTTTTAAGAAAATATGTGTTGGCTAAAAAAAAAAAAAAACAGTGGGCTAGCTCAGCTCATAGCTTCGGTTTATAGCATGTCTGTCTGTTAAACATGGCTAGCTAGCTAATACCGCTGGGGGGGAAAAAACGAATCACGTACATCGCTGTCGACTTCGATGTCATCGTTTTCACTCATTCTTCGGTAAAAAAAAAAAATGCTAAAGAAAAGAAAATAGGCAGCTGTCAAAACAAAGTGCAGCGACAACTGGAGGCGAACACCAAACGTAGCGCGGAGCTCCTGCTACGGCAGAGGCATGACGAGAGACACATGGATGGGGAAAACAAGCACAGCGCATGCGCAAGTTAAACAACGCATTCTGGGAAATGCAGTGAAAGTGTGTTACAAACCCAGTCTAAGCATAGGGGCTTTATGACGATTAAAACTACATTTCCCAGAACAATGACGGCTTGGGCGCACCCACACCCACTATAACGTCTACTTTAAGTTAGAAATTCCAACAACGGTGATACTTTGTTTAAGCTCACTGTGTTACTATGATGTCATATACTGTATGCTGTAGCTATATTGCAAGGAATAAAATAAATTAGCAACACATACTCTTTATATGTCTTTCGAAGCTACACTCCTTGATTAAAATCCATTATTGCATTAATATGATACTTTTATATTGTGATCTTTTATTGATGGGAAATGTATCAGTGTGTAGGACAACAACAGGGCCTCTTGCTCTACTTCACCATATGATTATGAAACCAGATGGCGGCTTTGCTCACGTCTGATGCCCTCCCCCACAACATCATCCATGCTTCACCATTTGCATGCAAAAGATCTTTGAATAAGATGCTGTGAAAATTATCACGTGACCTAAATCATCTGCGGCTCTCTAAAGATGTTTTTTTTTTTCATTAAAAAGAAGCGTCTGTGTGAAACTTAATAAAAAACAGGATAAATGGGTTAGGCTACTCTATGAAGAATTACATGGTCATATGCTCATTAATGGAAAGGGGAAAATTATCTTGTGAAAGTATTTGTACCTTTTGTACATTTATTTTTATATTTTGTCATTTTACAACAAAATATGTTTATTTACATTGAGGGGATTCTACATATTAGACCAAATATGACTTTAAAGTGTAGCAGAGGGGTGTATTGAAACTGGGCTTCAATACACCGATCTGCAATTGGCTGTTAGACTTTATCATAAACAGATCTCAGTCAGTCCAGATTGGACAGAACACCTCTAATGTCATCACCCTAAGCACAGGCTCCCCTCAGGACTGCATCCTGAGCATGTGAGAAGAGTGTAAAAGACATTTCATCCCAGTGCTGCGTGTCCCGAACCCATCTCATCATCAATGACCCCTCACATCTCCACCATGCACTGGTCTCCCTGCTGTCCTCTGGGAAGAGGCTTCACAGCATTCAACACAGGACCAGCATGTTCTGGAACAGCTTCTTCCCCACCGCTTTCAGACTGCTGAATGTTAAAAAAAACTCTAAATAATTTCACAGATTGCATCAAACTGACCATATCAATGTGTTTTTTTTTGTTTGTTTGTTTGTTTTTTTCTCCCACAATGTTTACATCTGATCACTGCGGCAATTAAAGAAATAGAAAAGGCATGAGAGTTGTTCAAAACGAAATTTTGCTTTGTATACTCTCTCTGTTTACAAAATGACAATAAATGTTGTCTAATCTAAGTCTAAGTCAATAACTTCCATGTTTTGTTTTTTTTAAGTTATATCAGAGAACAACTATTGCAATCAAGGCTTTTTTTCAACCAGCTATGCAGGTCTATACATTTTCTTTTTTGCAAAATGGCTTGAGCTCAGTTAGGTTTAAAGCATCTAATCTTGGACTTGTACAATATTTCCACTGTTCTAAATTTTACACATTAACATGTTAACTGTTGCCGTTCTGGGTGTTTGTTTTGGATCACTGTCCTGCAGGAGGATAACCCCTTTCAACATTCTGAAGTCTTCTGCTGTATTTCCTATCAAAGAGTAAACCCTTTCTGTATCTAAGTCATTATATCTTTCCTTTAACTATATTCAGCCTAATATTAGTCAAGCTATTATAGTCGACTTATTGTTTCTAATTTAACAAAAGGATAACCTTTTTTGCAGTAGAAGTACTTTAGGAGGCCACATATGTGACACTAAGTAAGCAAATTGAAGACTTTCTGATTATCAGAAAATGGAGGAGTGTGCCCTAGTGGTTAGAATTGAATGGAATAGAATAGAATAGAATAGAATAGAATTGAATGGAATTAAATGGAATAGAATAGAATAGAATAGAATAGAATAGAATAGAATAGAATAGAATAGAATAGAAGGGAGCTGCTGAAACAGGCTGCCTGCTCTTCGCTGGACCAGTAGACAGTAGGGCATTGTGCTTGGAATCCAGAGGTTCTGAGTTCAAGCCTCACCCCTACAGACTGAAACTCTGGGTCGCTGAGCAAGAACCTAAACCCCAAACTGTTCCCTGGGTGATGCACAATGGCAGCCCAATGCTCCCCAAGGGGATGGCTTAAAAGCAGAGAGCTCCTTTCATTGCTCTGTACTTGTGACAGTGTAATCACAGTAAAAATCTGAAAAAAAAAAGAGTTGATAAGTAATTACTTCATTAGAAGCTGGTATTGGCCCTATGAATGTCAACAGGTAAAAGAAAGATATGTTAACATCAAAGCTTATCAGACTATAGAAAACTTTTTTTTTTTGCTTTGAGTTGACAGTATATGACAAAAAAGTAATCTTTAAACTCAAATTAGGTCTGTTTTTACTACCAAATGCCCCACAGCATCAGATGAATAAAAATTCTTGCACTATGTGCACATTTCAAGTTCACTCAATCTGTTTACTGTGGTCACGCCAGAAGAGGAAATCAAGGGGGGCAAGTAGCAATTAAAAACATTCTAATGAACATGTAATTTCTAAAATGCCTTTGTTGTTTTTTTTTTTTATTTGCTTTGATTAGCAGCCAGCAGCATCTACACTACCCATTTTGCAAGAGGAGCATGTGACACAGGGGCTCCGACAGCAGAGGGATCAGACACGAGAATGGGAGCCAGAGTGAAGACAAGTGTTTGCATTACTACAGTCTAACTATAAAGCCAGTGGCCTGAATTTTGAGGTAGTATGCGTTTTTTATATATATATTTAGTCAGTGATTTCTTTCTTGTAAGTATTTCAAGTATTTAAAGAAGTTGTGACTTTTTCTACATCAAACTAACAGATTTAGAGTTTTGCTTTTAGAAAGTAGTTTTTGTTCATTTGGCTGAGGATGTGTGAGGCTTTCATAAAAACTTGTTCCTGCACGACGCAGTGGTTTTAAATCAGATGTTTTGATGCTGCTGCTGTGACACTAAAAGTACTATAACAATGTTTGTGATTTAAAGATTTAGCTGAATACAATGGGAGCACGTACAGGTCATCTGTTTTCAAAAAGTGTTTAAGTAACTCAATTAAAAAGTGAAGATTTATTGCAGATATTAACTTTTGACAACTTACAGCTTTTAAAAACCCAAATTCAATTTATTTACTTAATATTTAAAGATCTTACTGTTTGTAACAAATCCAATCAATATATCTGTTTTGCTTTTAGCTCTAGAATTATGTCTTTATTCTATTTATATTTTTAAATTTTAACCTGTATCTGTGTTTCACATCATGTTACACTGTACGAAAAGTTTGACAAGGAAAAAAAAAACTGGAACAAACTGACCTAAGGTAAAACTACACCAATGGAGAGCGACCACATGAAGAGACAGAGACACACATAAGGACAAGTTTACACATTCCCAAATATTTGGGGTGTTGAAAGTAAGAAAAAACATTACATATTGCTACAACAAAACTAGTACTTACATAAAAAAGACTGCATATATGTTTACATGTAGATATTGAATAATTTGCCTGTGGTAATGAAATATGACCTAACAACATCCCTAAGGATAGTAGGTAAAAATGCTGGGACATGTACCAGAAGTTTAATCCTAAAGCCCGGTAATTAAAATTAATGAAATACATTTATCTGTTTTTAATTCACATTTTAATAAAAAATCACTTTTCAAACATTTTTCATACCCTTTGCGAACTATAGGAAACATATTTTTGGTATTACAGCAATCTCATTGCTCACCAGCTTTTTCTTCTCTTCCACCAAAAAACAAACAAACATGATATTTAGTTTGGAGCTCCTACTCTAAAACACTGAAATTACTTCTAGTCAGTAATAATAAAAGATGACTAAACTTTTAATTGTGTATCTTCTTCTTGCAAATCAGGATTATCTTAGTGAGACATCTGGAAGTTCTAGCTGAGGATAATGTGGTTTTGTTCGTTTTCAGCTTATGTCAGTATGTCTAGACCCTGACCACCTAAAGCTGTTGGTGCCTTTACAGTATTGCATCATGCAGTTAACCTAATCAATATTCTATCACAGTTATTTTAATCACTGCATTTTTATATAATAGCCAAAAAATATGGCATTGAAGAAATATGCTATAAATAAATAAAATTAAATAAGACATTAAATTAATAATTTTTTGAGGTGAAATAATGTGTTCATGATGATGGGAAATTCATGCAGTGCATATCAGAGTATATATTTATTGCTTACATAGTATATATAAAATAAATATGCAAAATGAAATTGTGATGGGATACAACAATGATAAACATCAAGAAAAGAAAACATCAAGAAATAGATCATATAAAGTTATTAAAGTGTAAACTACATTAGAAATAAAATGGAAAATAGATAATAGGAAGACTTCTTAGATACATCTTTAGTTCATTCACTGTACTTAATGCACTAAAGTTCAGTTAGACAGTATGATGCAGCTCAATGGAATCCTGGAACTCTTTTCTGCAGAGGAATCCCCTTTTAGGCAAAACCATTCATAGAGGGTACAATAAAACCAGAAACCCCCTAGATAACATTTGGTATAAAAGTATAATCTTAACAGGCCATATCAAAAACTAATATGCAACTGGGTTAGAACTGGCCAAAATTGAAAGATAGGACTGCTAATCAGCAGTGTTATTACACTGATGCGAAAATCAAATAATGGAGAGAAAGTTCCTCTTACCTACAAAAAAGTTTAAATCTTGTTTTCAGGACTTCCACTGTTTACAGCTGTTGCTTGTTATTTTAGTGAAGTGATGTGGATGGAATATTAAGCACCGTACTGTGAGTCAACAGCTCAACAGTCTTATTTCAAGAGTGGTCTGATCTCCCAGTTAGACTGTGTTCACAGTTAGAGCACATCTTTGTGTGAACTCTGCCTGCGATTTCTAAAGAGAGGGAAAAGAGTGGGAACAATGTGGACAGATTTGACAAGATCCATGACAGGATATTCAAAGCAACAGGTTGGTGAATATGGATGGATTTGTGCATACTAATGTGGTCATCCCCCTTAAACCTTCTTTATGCTATAAAAACATTCTACAATGCTTTTGAATGCATTATAGTTTTCTTACTGTATATAGAGCAACTCAGTGAGTACAGTCACATGAAAGGATAATATTTATGATTTTTCAATGGTTTTCTTTAAATATCAAAGTCTGAATAAAGTGCTGTGCATATTAGAGTACATCCCAATGCAAACGCTGTCTTAAAAAGTCATATAAAACGTGAAGAATAAAGTGGTTATGTTTAAAGCAAAGTTATGTTATGAAATAAATATCCTAAACTTTAAGCATCTACAGCTAAGAGACAAAGCAGGGAGAGCATTTATAAGAGGAGTAGCTATTCTAATGCTGGAGAAGTTGCTGCATTCGTCACCTTAGGCGGGTCAATCTATCAACACCACAATGAATCTGGTACAAACAGAAACATAGCATCAATGAAGCCTTTGTGTTTCTGGTAGTCAAAAGCAACATGGGATGAGGATTATCTGATTAAATGTGACTGAAATTATGCTTTTTGACAAACATATTTTCAGGTAAATTATATAATATAACACCATAAATCACTCATGAAATATGGACGGTTAGGCTCTGGGTGTGTTACAGATACGTTTTTTCAGACTTGATGTGAAGATGGATAAAGCTTTATAAAATCTGATAAAAACTGCAAGATACCTAAGAGTGCTGTATGTGTTCACTTTTCAGAAGAATAGCCACCTTAGCTTACAGTTATTTCGAGATTGAGGTCAAAATATGCAAAGTTGGTAAAGACATATTGAAAGAAAGTTGAGGGAAGATTAATGCATCTGTTTCATTTCTTCTCTTCTCACATAAAATGCAAATAAAACAAAATAAAGTTTGTGCTTGGGGCATAAGAACAACTGAATTTATGACTTCTCATGCAAAGCACTTTTTTTCTTTTACATTAATTACATTTGATAGGAAAATTCACAGTTCTTTATCCATTGCATTCTTTTTAAAATCTCCTCTTCTATTATGTATTTTATTTAGAGCTTATTTGTTTAAGCCTCTAAAAGTCAAGCATATCAGCAGCCCTTAGGGTTGACAGTTAATGCCTGCAGGAAGTTCAGTTTTTTAGTTGAACCACACTTTTGTTCCTACAGTAAGAAACAATTTCAAGTCTTTTTTTTATTTAATCTGTCTGACAGATGCAAAACACAACGCAAACTAGTTATGGAAGAACTGCCATGATGAACGAGACCAGAGGCTATGTGGGAATGACCACCAGTCCTGATGATAGCAACATCCCTGGGAATAGCAGCATGGGCATCCTGGTCATCCCTGAACCCATGAACACAGCTCTTAATATTTTGACTGTGACCATCCTCTTCATCACCATGATTTCTCTTGGATGCACGATGGAGATCTCTAAAATAAGGACCCATCTTCTTAAACCAAAAGGAGTAGTTATTGCACTGCTGGCCCAGTTTTGTATCATGCCCCTCACTGCTTTCACTTTGACAAAAATCTTCCAGATGGATTCTATTAAGGCTGTAACTGTGCTGATCTGTGGTTGCTGTCCAGGTGGAAGCTTATCAAACATTTTCTCCTTTACAGTGAAAGGTGACATGAACCTCAGGTAAAAATGTCAGTATTTTCTTTTGTTGATTTTTTTGTTAACTGTTGTAAGATAATGTGTTAATTGAATGAATAATTACATTTTTTTCTCCCATTTGATATTTTGACAGTATCGTCATGACAACTTGTTCCAGCATTGCTGCCTTGGTTCTCATGCCTCTGTTGTTGTACATCTTCAGCAAAGGCTTCACTGGTCTAAGACATGCTGTTCCCTATGCAGGAATCATCACTGCACTCGTGTTTACATTGGTGCCTTGTGCTATTGGCATATGCATCAACCACTACAGGCCAAATTATTCCTCAAGTGTAACAAAAGTAGGTAATCAGACAATGGGACTGTTTTACTAATATCCCAAATAGGAAGCAGTAAATATTGAGAGTGAAAACAGGTGCAAAAGCTGAGTTTACCACTCTATTTAAATTAGGATTTGTGACTGATGTATTGTTACCATGAAGAGCTTGGGAGGACAAATTGAATTTATTCTTTATGTCCCAAAGGCAGCCACCATTTGCAACAGCACTGCACACAGTTAGCAGGTATGATAGTTTTATGCAGAAGATGTAATTAGAGAAGAAAAACACCTTTTATATTCCTTTGGAGTAAACAAAACAAAAATGTCTACAAAGAGCGAAGGAAAGAAGGGGTGGCTTACCAGCAGAAGTTTTCAAAAACAACATCACTGATAATGCTTGAATAGCTTGAATAAAAAAAAAGGTGAAAGTATAATTTAATATAATACCATATGAATAAAAAATATTTGAACAGTGATTAAAATAGAGATATTTACTGCCCTTGACATATTTTTTTATCTCTTTTCTGGGGAGGCTCAGAAATAGTAAGGAAGCAAATATAGTTGTTATGATTATTATTATGATATGACTATTACAATATGTTTTTTTGTATTTTTAGGTGGGATGAACTGACCCTTGTAACATTGTATATTTGACAGGTTGGTCTCAGCATCCTGTTGATATCCACCATCATAATTTCTGTACTGTCTGGTCTCGCTGTGAAGGATGTAATATGGATTATCCTCATGCCAGACATCCTCACTGTTGCTGCACTGATGCCTCTGATTGGTTTTATTCTGGGATATGCGGTGTCGGTCATTTGCAGACTCAGCCCACAGTAGGTCAAAACATTTTTGTCATTAGGTCATTAAAAGGGAGTTCACGACTCTGTATCACATTAAAATTTCTTCTTTATCCAAATAGCTCAGCTTTATCAAAGACTGTTCATTGTACAGAAGGGAATAATATGTGCTGTCTGTTGCCACCTAAATATGATATTATTCCACCTTACCATTGTCTTCTATAATTGAACTTGTGTACCTTAACATGTGCAAGGAATTGCAGCAACCTCACACATGCAAGGAGGCAAAACACCATCACATGTTATCAATCAGTTGTTATCTAAATATTTTAGTAAAGATTGTAAGTTAATTTTGTCCTCAATCTAAAAGGAAATGATTTTTACACTGACTTTAATCATTTTTCTTACTGTAGATGCAGCAGAACCATCTCCATGGAGACAGGGTGCCAAAACATGCAGCTGTGCACCGCCATCCTTAAGGTGGCTTTTACTCCACAGGCCATTGGACCCTTGTTTTTGTTCCCTTTAGTGTACATTGCATTCCAGTGTGCAGAGGCTCTAATCCTGGTGCTGTGCTTCAGATGTTACCAAACAGTCACAGCACAGCATGGGGGTAAGTTTTGGAACAAGTTTTGTGGAATGAGGAAAAAAAAAACAACTAATAAAACAAGAACCAATGAACAGTGTCAAATGGCAATCTGAAGCATATGTTTGTCTTTTAGAGCTTAAAAAATATATTTCTGTTCTACAGATCAAAACTACAATTAGAACGTTGCTGCTGAACAAGAACAGATCAAACAGCCGTGAACTTCAAAGAGAACAGTGTACCCTGGAGGGAGGATTAAAAAAAGATATTTCATAGTGCAAGCCTGTGATGTAACAACAGTGGCAAAACATTGGAGGATGAAAATATTTGTTTCAAAAGTTTGAGATTTATGAATGTTATAAACTAAATAGCTGATAAAAAAAACAAAAAACAAATACATATCAATTTCTGGCTTTATTGCAAAGGTTAAACAAAGTTCTTACACAAATCCCTTTGATTTCTAATGTGTTTTTCTAATGTATGATGTGTGCAGCCATTATCAATCTTCACATCTAAATGGCTCCAATTGCAGGAAATCTGCTGCTAATAACATTGCTTCACATAGAACAGTTTTTAAAGAACTTTAAATTCAGATGCTCATTTGTATTAAGTGATTTTAGGGTCTAAAAACGCAGAGCAAATGTTTGTACAGTTGCTATAACTCAGGAATGTTTAATGGAATAATGTTGCCACCAGTGCAGAGCTTGCTCAAGATTAGTAGCATACAGGTAGGTGAGTGACAGAGTACCACTTCACAAAGCATTGGTCATATTAATGTGGCTCAAATATTGTTAAACTGAAATCATGGACCCAAGACCGAAGAAATATTTTTATCTTGGAACACCTGTGACAGGTAAAACCAAAAGCACTCAAAAGACAAGAGTGGGCTGCCAGTCAGTCAGGATTTTGCCCTGACTTTGGTTTGAATTTACCACCAGCAAATGTTCATTTCAATTTACAGCTGCAAGGGATGAATATTAATCAGTAATCAGTCTAATCAAGGTGATGAATCAAATTGACTAGTCTGGATAGTTTTCGTTCTTAGGTAATTTAGCCTAGGCTAATCAAGTACTGAATGATTATCTTTTAAAACATTGGTTTCCAACCTTTTTTGACTCTTGTAACCCCCTGGCATTTTTATCATACCATAAGAACTCTCTTAAAAAAAAAAAAAAAAATTATATATATATATATATATATATATATATATATATATATATATATATATATATATATATATATATATATATACCGTATATATATATGCACTACTGAAAAATAACTATTTTCTTTTTAAAGTCACCTTAATGCCTGAAAAGCTGTTAAAGGCAACAAGAAGCGTATTATTTAAATAATTTAACTTAATATAGGTACGTTTTAGGTATGCTATAATTATAAGGCTATGTTAACACAGCCTCACTGATGTGAGTCATACATTTTTTTTTTTTTTTTGCATTGGATAATTTAAGTTTGAAAAAAGAGGTATTATGAAAGCTTTTAAAATTTAGTAAACATAGGCCTCAGTAGTGTCTGGAAGAACATTACACAACCACAACAGCCAGGGTCGTCTTCTGCTGATCAGCAGCTTAGTCATACATTACTAGCATTTAAAGTCAGTCAGTCTATATGAACAGAACTCCCAAGCTGATTCATCAAGTGCACAGTGAGTTTGAGGTCAGGTTTCTTCACCCAAAACTCTCTACATAAGCTTTGATCTAATATGTATACAGTTTCTGTTTATATTCAGAATGATTGAACGTCAGGTGCAAATCTGAATGCAGAAATGTCTGCAGTCCTGCACAAGTGGCTTATTCTGGTGTGATGCCAGATTTATCCTAGAGTTGGAAGGTCATTGGTTCTCCTTGCACTTCTTTATGCATTATTTCTAAAGCTTGCAACAAGTCTCGTCACACAAAAAAGGAAATGGTTTATATGACAAACTGCTGCTATGATTAATATGAAGATGCTTTTAAAAAATCTTTTATAAAGGTTTATGTGGTTATTAGTAAAATGTTTCATAAAATAGCTTCTCTCAGCATGTCTTTAGGTAAACATCTGTTGTGCGGAATACATTCTGCTGTTATAATAATATAATACTACTTTTACACATTTATTTTGTTAATAAGGTTGGTTATTAAGTATAATGATCATTGATAAGAAAAGAATGTTTCTTTTTTTTGGCAGTTTTCAAACCATTGTTATTGTTTTTCTTTCAATAGCCTTAAAAACTGAAAGATCAACTAAAGAAATAAAAATCCCATTTATTTAACAAGAACTTTGTGCATCCAGGGTGTCTCTTAAGTTGATGTTAGTACCATACTTTCGGAACTATAAGCTGCTAGTTTGTTCCGATGCGGTTTATACAAAGGTGCAGCTTTACTGTAGCTTTTACCAAATCTCCAAAAGAGGGATATCAAAGTTGGAAATCAAAGAAGGGGGTAACTTTCATTGAGCACATACACTGTCCCAAATTCACATATTTTCACACAATAAACTATGTGCAACTCCTTAAGAGCCGGGTAGTGTCGGCCTAGTGGTAAGGGCATTGTGCTTTGAATCTAGAGGTTTTGAGTTCAAGCCCCACTCCCACGGACTGACACTCTGGGTCCCAGGGCACCGCACAATGGCAGCCCACATCCTTCCAAAGGGATGGGCTACATGCAGAGAGTTAACTTCATTTCTTTGTACTTGTGACAATGTAAAGAGAATAAAGTTGAATTATATTCTAAATAAAGAGCTGACTGAACCCCAACTTTGATTTGAAGCTCTTAGTGCTGCGAGCCAACAAGTTACCGGGAGCTAGCATTCTTCTTCATCCTTACTCCAAGGGTCATATGTAGACCTTCCTCTACAGTATATATCAGTACATATAGCTCAGTGCATCTTATATATGTATGTTTCCATTATTATTATTATTTTTTTTACTGAGCTGGTGCGGATTTATCTGAGATGTTCTTTATAGTCTGGAAAATATGATAGATCAGGTACATAGTCTACTAATCGACCAAACAGAAAACACTTGTTTCTGGTATAAAACTTTTGTTTCTGCTAAAAATTGTTCAAAACACATCCTTTCATCCTAAAATGAGTAATGTCATTAGTGAGGTTATCCAAACATTTAATCAAAAATAAAAAAGCAGTCAAAAGCAATTTGAGCACATCAAATCATATTTAATCAAATATACACAATATATACAGAATCAGACCTTAAAGTTTGTACATATATTAGAGCACAGCTGTAACAAAAACATACAATCTTTAATCTAAAAGTAAACTCAGTCAAAGGTCAAGTAAAGCAAACACAAAAATCACACTAATCTGTACATTTGCTCTTTTTTTTTCTCCGTCAGGCTTTTCTTCCCGAGGAATTCACATCAAATCTGATGTCACAGCAGCTGGGGTAAAAGGAGAAGCTAACCATCTTTAATCAACAACACGAGCTGCAGAGGCAATGCAACAGCTGATCAACAGCTTTCTCAGAACAAATATATTACAAACACATTTAGGCTTAAAGCAGGAGTTTCCCAGAAGCCTGAATAAATTAACAAAGACAATATCTTCAGGTGTACAAGTGAGGTGTTTCACGATGCCACAACTAATCAATCACTAAGCAGTAAGGGCATTTTACTGACATTCACTTTTAAAACTCCTTATTTCACATAGTACAGTGCATAGAAGTGGAAAGCTAAGGCCTTATAAGGAAGAGTATGAGCGAGAAGAGCGGAAATCAGCAGGAGAAAAATGATGTATGTAGTATTGACCTGCACAATGACATAATTTAAAACTTACAAAAACTTAGAAGAAAACACTAAGCATTTACTTCTTCTACAGGAAAATGAGTTCATGCATTTAGCATATGTGTTTTAACATGATGTATGATCTCAGAAAAGTAAACAAGTCAGATTTTTTTGTTTTTACAAAATGAGTAAAGACTTGCTCAATAAACATCGAAGCATCAGTCTCAGTTTTCTTTAAAGACAAGCGCCCTTTGACCTGTCTCTCCTTCCATTTCTACGTTTTCAGGAAGTAGAAAAACACACATATTGTGGGGAAGCCTAGATTTAACATATGTACATGTAATTGACTCCTTGGTTTGATGAGCTTCTGAGAGTGGTTCACTATTCACTGGCGTCATCTCTGTTGATAAAAGTCTGCAAACCAGTAAAGGTCAGTTGTTCCATATGCTTTAAGCCTCCTTCAGTAACGGCATATCTATGGAAGAAATAATACAAGTCATTACAAAATAAAAGCTCATGTTCGTCTAGGGTTAAATCAATACATTATAATAATATTGGAAAATAACATAATTCATTTAAAAGAAGGAACTCATATTATACACGGTTAAAACATGATGTTAGCAAATCTTCCATAAAAGAAAACACTAACTGTAAAATGACCCCAGTTTGACATTAATATAAGCCAAACTTGTTCTGCTTTAGGTCTGTTAGGATCATCAAACTTATTTCCTGACTGAAGTCTTCATATGCTGCCTCGCCATTTCGATATAACAGGGATTAAAGCAAAAAAAAAAATATATCCTGATGCGTGTGTGTGTGTGTATTTTGAAGCCATGACAGGGGGGTGTGGGGTTATGGGATCAGAAATTGCATGAATTATTAAAGACTAAATTTGACTTTTGAAAATCCAGTACCAAAAACGGCCAGAAGATGGCAAAAGTGCATCTATATCTACCACTTGCATGTACCACATTTCTTTTGAGATCTAGTTTTGCTGCTCAGTGAAGAGTGTTTTTGGCGAGGAAAGCACAGACCCTTATTTTTAACTTGCATACACGGTCAGTTATTGACGCTGGTACATCATCTTTTGCTGTATGCTGTAGCTTAGAGTGACCATACGTCCCCTTTTTCCCGGACATGTCCTACTTTTCAGACCTAAAAAAAACGTCCGGAGAATTTCAAAATCGTCCGGGATGTTGGTCGACTACAGTGCAGCACGTAGTCGAAAGACACCGGGCACTGGAACAGAGCCGTCAGCTCCAGGGCGGGTCGGGGAACCCCGGCGGACGGGGGCAGGGAGTCGGCGGGGGACGGAGCGACAACAACTGAACCCGAACCGGTAACGGTAGCCTGAACACCGGTGGCCCCGTGCTTCCGGCTGGGGAACTCCAACCCCTTACACTGTAGTGTAAAGTGCTTTGGAGTGTATTTTCTTGAAAAGGCGCTACATACAAGCACAACCCAATATACTTTAGCTAGCATCTTTACAAAGATCGTTTTTTATTCCGGGACTTTGCAAATAGAGGTAGTCCCGATAATCACTGCTTAGCTTAAAAATTAAGTCTAATTTAATGTAAGACAGAAAAAAAGGTATTCTTTACCATCAGAGTAGTCCATCTCTGAGTCTAGAGACAGGCTTTGTTGGTCGCTGCCTGCAGACGGCCTTCTACGTGCGGCTGATGTGCCTCCAGCTGCACCTGCATGCTCCAGAATCCAACCAGACGACAACGGTGAGGAAGAGGAGGATTGCAGCCCAGGGTGGACAGGCATCTCTGACTGCTGCTGTTTGAGAGAGGATGGCCTCGACGGGCCAGCCTCTAGTGGTGAGGCATGCTGACCCTCAGACAACACGATCTGCACTCTAGACTCTGGGCTAAGTGTTGAGGCTCCGTTGCTGCTCACAGCCTCCTCATAGGAGGGAAGAGTCACCTGGACCCCTTCCACCATGATGGAGACAGGCTGCCCTGACACCCCGTGGTCACGCCTGAGAAGAACATTTAGAATCTGTTCATTTCTTTGGATGATCAGCAGATTTAAGATATTCGGAGGGACGTCTCACCGGTGGAAAGACTTGAGTTTAGGCTGCAGAAGTACAAACAGCACCACCAGGAGCAGGATCAAAGCCACTGAGCTTGCGGTGGAAGCTACTATGGACAAGGCAGGCATTCCCAAAGGTAACGTTGGAATGTGGTCTTTGAGACAGAAAAAAAAAACAGATTTATCTTGCCTTAAAGAATATTATTGTCTAAATGTGCCTCAGTCTTTACCTTGCTCCATGACACAGCTGATCTTCATCTGGTTGTCCCACTGGCCATACTGGCAGGTAAGATACTTATAGTCGCCTTTCAGAACGTAGCCTTCATCGCAGAAATATTCCACCACAGTGCCCTGAGAAAATCTTCGGCAGGGGGATGGGTGGCATGTGTAGCCTCCGTTCTCTGGTTGATATGGAGAATCACAAACTGTCCACAAGAATAAAGCACATGTTAGAGAACACACAAGTTAAGAACGATAGATGTTCTGCTACAATGCTGCAATGCATTCAAAGTCACAGGACTTTTCTGTTTAAATTTAAAGCTACAGTGTGTAACTTTTAGCGACATCTAGCGGTCAGACTGCAGACTGCAGCAACATGAACATCTCCCCCCACCGCTTCTCCCCCCCAACAGTACGGCGAGCGTTACGGGACAAAATGTCTTCCACGACGTCCGCATCACCTACCTTCTCAAGTGATGAGGTTTGTTTACATAGATAATTTTACAGATAGTATTTCATTAGTCTGTGTAGGGTATAGATTTCATGTAGACTTAAGATAATAAATATACCCTTTATTTTTTCTACATCGTTGTGACATTTTGGCGATCTCGCAATCACTAGTTTGTTTGCTCTGCGCTGCCGTAGCGCAAAGATGTCTGCCTCCATGGCTGGGAGACCCGCTCCTATGTAATTATAAATAACGAATTCTAAGGCAACGCAAATATTAAGGTTAAGAGGCTGAGCTCGTAGATGATGATAAAATAACATAGTTATGTATAATATATTACATTTCTGACTGTATATCCCTGTAATTATTACACACTGTAGCTTTAATCAACTTTCTTCAATCGTATCCTGTTATTCTTGTTGGTTGATTTGTTAGCTTGTTGCTTTTTGGGTTAGAGGTTTAAATCAGAACCAATCTTCTTTTTCACTTCTTGTCAAATTACAAGCACAAACTTCAAAGCATTTAATAAGATTAGCAAAAGCCTGCCATCCCGAATCAATAGAATAAAAAAACGTTTTCTACTGAAAGTCTTTAGTTTTATGTCTTTATCAGCTTTGAGGCTTAAAAAATACATATTTAATTATTTTTAATAGCAAAATAATCTAAATCTTAGTCCAACAGGCTGGAGAATGATTAAAATAACTTTGAAATGTTCCAACTTGTCTGCCCTTTGCCTTGATCATTTAAAGCAGGAACATGAGTTGATTTGAACCATTTCATTGTCTTTTTGGCAGCATGCTCTCAGGTCTGTGTTTTACTGTGTCCAACAGGCTTTTTTCTAAGTGTTCCAGACTTTAGAAAATGTACCATAGGCTGATGCATCCACCACCATATTTCACCTTTTAGCCACAAAGCAGCACATATTTTATGCAAGTGTGTCAGGACAATTTTTAGTAATTGGGTTGTGGAAAAATATATTAAAAACAAACAATGGCTTTTCAGTAGAAGTAGTTCTTCTGGCCACTCATCTATAAAGGTAGTAATTGTGATGATGAGTGACTGGCTGTCCCCTTAACTTATTCCTCCCCCTAAGCTGTTACTCTCTGCATATGCCCCAGAGTTATCACTGTTTTTTACTGCTTCCTCTGATGTTTGTGTAGCTCAGCAGTTGTTTGGCTAATTCTGAGTAGGTTTGCAGTTTTTCTGTACTTTCTTTGAAATTATTGATTGATCACTGTGAAATGTAAGTTTGGGAACTCATTTTAGAGAAAAACTGTACTATGAACTTCATTTAACGTGTTATTTGGTCTTTAAGATACTGGTTGTTTACTAATGTTCTCTGGAAGAGAGAGACACATATATATATATATATATCCCATTTACACTACCCTTGAAAAACCGATCCATGCCGAGAACGGTCCGACCTCGGATCAGTTAACCAGGCCGAGCTTGGTTCTGACGACCATTTACACATCAAGCTATCTCGGTTCCTCGACTCGCCGCCTCTTAGTGACGATCTGTGGTATTACTGCCAGTATCGAAGGATGAAATCAAGCAGTTGGTGGCGGTAATGCACCAAAAGTTGTTTGCCAACCGTCATAAAACACAAGAAGAAGAAGACGAAGAAGGAGGGAATCAAGCATATCAAAATGGCGGCGCCCGTCACATTCAGAAAGTTATGCTTGATTATTATTGCTGTACTTCGGTGTTTGCGGAGGGTCAGGCGAAGACGGCAACCTTTCGTGGATGTTTATAGTTGTTCTTCTTTTTCTATTTTGTGTTGGTTGGCAAGCAACTTCTGGATGGGGCATTACCACCAAATGGAGTTTGAATCGGGATGTGCAGCCAGACGGAGATGAGGCGTTCTGCTCATGCGCTGTTGTTATCAGAGAACCGAGGGAGGAAAAAATGGAGTCGAGCCCACCTCTGGAATTGGTCTGCAGTTAGCACGGTCCGGTTGTGTCTAGCTCGGTTCAGTTCTGTTTGCTTTCCATTTACACACGATAAGTTATCTCAGTTACTGAGCTCGGACCGGTCTCGGCATGGTTTTTCAAGGGTAGTGTAAATAGTGTAATAATATCCCTGCAGAGCAACTCAAAAGATCATCAGATTTCCTCTGCTATGCCAGGAGACTGATCAGGAGAGCAGAAAACATCATCATAGACAAAGCTAATTATCTGTAGACTGATCCCTTCCAACAGGCATTACAGGTCAATGAAACAATAAGAATCAACCAAAAAACGTTTAATCTAAAGGCCATCAGAGTAAAGGGTGCTGTATACAAATACATGAAACATGTTTATGATTTGTACAGCAAGTGACCAAAAAACATAATAAAAAAATACATTGGGGCAAAAGTTAAAAAGATTGTAAAATCTTTTTAGGACTCCATTTGTTCTGGATGAATGAGGACCTTTGATAGCTCTCTTAAGGTAATAACAATTCCATGTAAAACCAAATACTAAAGCACAGCGGCAAGTAAAATAGATAATTTGGACAAAATATGAGTTTCAACAGGGAATTACGATGCATCTTTACCGTCACTATGTATACAGCGAGGCGGTTCGGAGGACCAGTGTCCCGGTGTGGTACAGGTGAGGATGCTGGCTCCATCCAACAAGTAACCAGACTCACAGTTATACTGCAGCACTGACCCCACTGGGAACAAACTACTATTCAGGTCAGTTAGGTTTGTTATGGCATGTTCCACCATGGAGGGTCTTACACAACCTAAAAAAAAGAAATAAAAACAAAAAGAACATATAAGCAAAAAATGCACTTCTTTATTACTTCTTTATTATTATAAAACTCTTAAATTTTTTTTAAATAATTTTATCTCCACCTTGTTTAATGACACAGCTGACGGGTGATATGTTGTCCCATTTTCCATAACGACAAGTTCTGAATTTGCTGTCTCCTTTCAGAATGTAACCTTCATCACAGAAATACTCCACAGCAGTACCGTGAGAAAATCGTCTGCATGGGGAAGGGTGGCAGGTGTAACCTCCATTTTCTGGCTGATATAGAGATTGGCAAACTGTGGAAGGAGAAAAATAAATACTGAAAATAAGTCCTCTTTTCTCTCGTCTTCAGAATCTAAAAGCAGTTAATACTGGATTCATGATTTCTGTCCATGTTTACCATCATTGCGGATGCAGCGAGGAAGATTAGAGGACCAGTCTCCTATCGTGGTGCAGGTGAGGATGCTGCGTCCGACTAGCAGGTACCCTGGATCGCAGCTGTACTGCAACACTGTCCCCACCGGAAACAAGCTCCTGTTGGTGTCCATCAGATCAGCTGAGCCGTGTGGAACCGGAGAAGGTCTAATGCAACCTTAAGGAAAATATAGAAAAAATACATGTCAGATAATAGAGTAAACGGTTGCCCTCTTCCTTTATAAGGTTTTAGAAGATTTAAACCTTACCTATATAATTTCCTCTAAGAAAAATTACATTTAATCACTACTTCTTAGTTAAGACATATGGAATTTTTGGCAGATCACTGTGACATGCACAACAAGACCTGCATTTGGCAGAAATCTCAGCAGCTGATAGTTTTAAAAATAATGAATAATACAAACTTGCACAAAGTGACAAAATTCAGAATCTTAACTGAATATATTATAAATTCCTGAATTCACAACTGATTTTTTTTAGATGTTATTCTTATCCAGCTCTTGTAAATTTTAAGCCACCTGAAATTTGATGACAAAATTTTGGAGAAGCTCCAATTTTTGTTTTCAAAACTCCAGAATCTCCAAAAATGGCAGCTAATTTTTAACAAATAATGTTCATTCTTAGGTTTCGTATCAGATTCCTATAAGCTTTTCTACATAGATTTAACTCAATTCCAATCCAATTGTATTTGTTAAGCAACTATAAAACAACCCCAACTGACTAAAGTGTTGTACAGAAAAATAACTGTTGATTCATGACTAAAATACCTTATTACCACCAGGTGTTGATACTCTACTGCAGCTGCAAGATAATGAACATTTATTTCTGAAATGAGGCCCAAGCAAGAGTGAAGGCCTTTTCATCATACCTTGATGGAAAACACTATGAATTGTGCAGGAAAATAGCAAATTAAAATGTAGACACATCTGGATCTTAGCAGCATATTCTAATTAATTATTTAATTATTCTAAAGGTTGTGTACACATAGGCAAGCCCCTGTAAGAGAAATGGCAGATCAAATGGCTTTTAAGAGCTGGAAAGACAGAAAAAAAAAATTAGCTGAATGTATTTTGGTGCCAGTTGTGCATTTAGGACCAATATATAAAAAAGGATAATACATTGACAAACCTTTGCTCACACAACTGATCTGCATAGGTCCGTCCCACTGTCCATCCTGACACGTCAGGTAGGGATAGTCTCCGCTGAGAGCAAAGCCCTCGTTACAGATGAACTCTATTATGGTGCCATGGGAAAACAACCGACATGGGGATGGATGGCAGGTGTAGCCCCCGTTCTCAGGTTTGGAGAGGGGTAGGCATGCTGATGAGGGAAAAGCACAACATACAAATCAGCCGCCCAGCTTTACATGATGCTTGCTTATATGTTGGCAAATAGGGTCAGAACTCGCATTTTCTTAAAATTCGAGAGTCGGATAATTTACTTAAGAATGTTGAAAATGAAGTAATGAGAAACAAATGACAGTCTGGGTGTTAGAGAGAAGGTAGCTTTGAGTTTCTAACCTCCACTTCGTATGCACTGAGGGGGTTCTGAGGACCAGCGCCCTGATGTGGTGCAGGTGAGGATGCTGGGTCCATCTGGCAGGTAACCAGGGTCACAGCTGTACTGCAGCACTGTGCCCACAGGAAACAAGCCTCTGTTGGTTTCTGTAAGGTTTACCCAGCTGTTCTGGACCATATAAGGCCTCACGCATCCTAGGAAAAGGAGATGTGCAGAGATTTAAGTAAAAAAAAAACAAAAACAGACCAGTCTGCCAGCAAAATCAAAGCAAGAAAAACACAGAATAATGACAGGGAAGCAAAACAAACCTCATTCATATCAAAGCAAAAATATTGCATAAGTAATTATGAGGATGGTGTTTAACATCCAATTTATAGATATGCTGAAAAAGGTATTAAAACTAGACAGGGGGATGGGATGCTGAATCCTAATGGCTGTTACTATATATATTGAAATCTTTATGAATGTTATTTTTGCCATAAATTTTGGACCAAAAAATGAAAAAAATACATTAATTTCAGGATAGCTATGTTTTTTTGTGTGTTCAAAGGAAACATTTCCAATTAAGAAATTAGACATAATAAGAAACCTAATTTCTTTTAATGCCTGATGGAATGCAAGCATTGTTTTTATCATTAGATTTATATTCAGTTTATGACAAATTTGATTAGAATGAACTAATTAATATAAGGATCTTATTCTATATAGAACAAGAACACACCAAGTAAGAAAAACATGTAAACTAAATAATATTACAGCTTTTGCATAAAGCTGCTGGAATGTATGATCTTATTATGACCTAATAAATTAACATTTCACAACAAAAAATAAAGAATAAAATCAATAACTTAAGAGATGCATGCGTAAATAAACAATTTTATTCATTATAATGTGATATAGCAGGGGCTTTGTGTCTTACCTGAACCTTGGGTAGTGGACACCAGAGTCAGTGCCAGCAGCAAAACAAAGGGCCTCTGAGGGCCCCAGAAGGTATTTGAAATTGACTCTATAATTCCATTGCACATCTTCCCATTCAGAATCAACCCAGCCTAATAGTAAAAGGCGGAAAATGTCACGGTTAGAGAAGCATAAAGAAAACTACATGATAGTAAAATAGAGATTTCTTTCAGTTTCATCCTTTGCAGCCACCTGCTTGGTGCAGGTAGATTGCAGCGCCTGGATGGCTGCCAGTAAAATGGGTGTGATTACAGCGCTTCACTGACAGAACATTACACATTTATAGACAGTTAGAAATATATTAGCTGTTAAGATCGAAAAGAAATAACATACCAATCCTCTGTAATGATAATGTTCGGAAAAGGTTTTAAAAAATAAATGTTATTCGTGTACCAAATGTCAAAGAATCTCAGCTGCTTCTTCTAAAATAATATAAATATGGCCCAACATAAATGACAGCATTAGTATTTATAGCATAATATGACATTATCTGCATATTCCAGATGACTTCGACAGCTAAGATAGATAAATAGATCAGCCGATGTTATCGTTGTTAGCTTGCTATCGCTAACGGCAGATTCAGCTGGATCATCGTTTACCTGCCACAAAAAAAAAAAAAAAAAAAAACACGGCCCCCTCCGTAATAACCTCACGATGTAGACATTTAGTTGCAAGTTATCTGCAGGCTTGATGACCCTGTATTTTTTTTGTTGTAGTTTAAACTCGTCTATGCGTTTTAATGATGTAACCAGCGCAGCGGTGCTAAGCTAACCGCTGGCTACCTTCCTAGCTGCTGCTGAAGCTGCTGCTGCGGTTCAGCATCAGCTGTCTTGGAAACAACATCCGGGGACAGTTTGCGTCCGTAGTTACCAACCATCAGACAAAAACATGAACTGTTGGCAAATCTTGTTGCACTGTAGATGCATTAATCAATCCAGAGTGTTCATTTCTAAACATTTTAGAACTCATTCTTAAATGCTTTATGCAATTAACATAAGTAATGCTAAAAATGCTTTTTTTACTCATGAGGTCAGGTTAGTCTGAAATCTTTATAGTTGAACAGCTTAGGTCACTGTTTGATAAGGAACTGGTCAGATTAACAGATTATATATATATATATATATATATATATATATATATATATATATATATATATAT